TGTGTGTATTTAGGCAGCATTTTTTCATTGATGGAGGATTTCCAAGCAACAACAGTTTATCGTAGATGTCCTGTTTAACAGCAAATCTTCCATGTAAACATAAACAGACTGTCATTATTGTTTTGTCCGTGTATTGGTTAATATATTCTAATGTAATCGTCATCTTTGATAATGGCTTATGTAAGCCGAAAGCTTAGATAGGATTTAAAAATATGTATCAATATTGTGATTTTTTTCTTTTAATGATAATGTTATTATGTTAAGCTTATCAGACGATATGAAAAGAATTTACATAAAATAAATAGACAAAACTTGTCTATTTTATTTAATGAAACATGCATCAATATATATATATATATATATATATATATATATATATATGTGTGTGTGTGTGTGTGTGTGTATTTACCACTAATATTATCAATATATTGCTCCTTACTATTAGCATATGTATGTGTATATTTACCACTAATAATATCTAATATCTATCTATCTATCTATATATATATATATATATGTGTGTGTGTGTGTGTGTGTGTGTATATTAGAGAGTGCGGACACACGAATTAACACTGCACGGTGAGAGTTTCACGTCTTAATCCAATCTTCAGACCAAGTGACATAACTCCTTTAATTGGTTCAATATATAAGTCAAATTAGGAGAAGCGAAAAAAGCTTGAAATTGGGCGTTCCTATGCGTAAGCTTAATCATTATCATGAACTTTTGCTTATTTTATTCATATATTTAGTTAATTATTTTTTATCCGACCAGCGACCTATATAACCTGAACCTCACATTGGGGCGTGAAACTGACATATATCATACCATATTGATTCCCATGTCTACATTGTCTATATCTACAAACGCTCTCCAATACTGTGCACTCCCCCTATAAAACTAGTAAATTTTAAACTATATATATATATATATATATATATATATATGTATGTGTGTGTGTGTGTGTGTGTAGATCCAAGACATCTGTAATGTATGTATTTGGGTAGTCTTCTCCAGAACAGATCTTGTTAGGCATACCCAAAATAGATGTGAGATTACTTGAAATTAAACAGCAGCTAAACCTAACATACTCCTTGAGTATACTGAATGTCAATGCATACATTGTTTTGAAAGTAATCTTAGTTCCTACGGTAGAATCATTCTACGGCCAACTGTACCCATATAAAAGTGCCAAGCAACGGTTTATTTAAGTAGATATTACTTCTAAACCATGTAGACAGCCGTTTATATATATATATATATATATATATATATATATATATATATATATATATATACTATGTGACACTTTTCATTAATTACGCAGATATTACATTGATCATACACAGAAATAATTGGAGTGACGTTGATTTAAGGCTGAGTGAACAGATAATTTGACCCGAAACAGAAGATCCGTTCAGTAAAGAAACAGCTCTAATTTTTTTTTTTTTTGACAGGCACTATGCTAGTTAAATATTAAAAATCAGTTTTTGTAAATTTGTACCACCGAAGAACTTGTGGAAGAACGTAAAAAATAAATCAACTGTGTGTATGTGTACGTACACACATACATATTGACTGACTATTCATTGGCTCTATGTATTTACAAACCCACAAATACACACACACACACACACATATATATATATATATATATATATATATATATATATATATATATATATATAATGAAGTCCCCACTACGGGAATGATTTATTAGGCATATACGCACCAGTTTACATTTGCAGAACAAATACAAAAAGAATACATAAAGGAAAGAAACAGCTACCAGAATTTCCATAGTACATTTGGCATTTGGATGCGACGAATATGATAATAGTTCAAGTGGTTATATATTTTCACATTTAATCACAGCTTTTTCAAATGCGTAAAATTCCATTCCTTTTTCAATGACTCTAAGCGCAGTTTTTCTTTTCTTTTTTCATTCTTGAAAAAGTCGACATTTCACGAAACGCGTCGGGTAATAATACAGTTTTCCTACTGTCTTTTACCTTTATTCATACATATATACATATATACACACACACACACACACACACATATATATATATATATATATATATATATATATTTATGTATGTACATGTATATATATGTATGTATATAGTGCCCCATATATATATATATTTATATATATATATGTCTCTCTGTGTGTGTATGTGTAAATGAATCTTACCTTGAAAATGTTGCATTTTATTCATTACCATAAAATGATATATTTGATTTTAACTTTTAAATTACATTATATATGAAGGTTGTGCCGAAAAGTTCTTGACTCGACCAAGAATAATTTCTCCACCACATTCTATCCTTCAAAATCTAATGTTAACTCATTTCGTCAGATTTTGGGACGTAGGTTGGAGAAGAGATTTTTCAGCACCCACTTGTATGAATATTTTGTCCAAATGGATATAATTAATACTGAATGCTGCTTAAAAAAACAAAACAAAACAAAAAAACGCTTTTTTCAGTCACAGTTGACATTGCTCTACATCTAACTGTGTTCTCAATGGGTGTATCTATTGTCTAATTAGACAGACGGAGCCCTCAATATTTATTAGGATCATTATACAGTGTGAATTTCTCAAATATAAGATGACGCAAATAAAAGCTGGTTTGAATCTTCAGGCTAGTTGATAAAATGTTGATTTTCCGATTGATTTACGAGTTTATTTTCTCCCGATCGTTTCAATCCATCATCTTCATGTGTCCAGAAATGTCAACAAAGAAATTGTTTATTTGCGTCAGGAAGACGGACAAACAAGGCCCCTAGTCAGACTTCCACCTACGCAAAGATATGCACGTCTCCAGTAATGTCGCGAGAAAGTCATCTGGTGGATCGAAGAAAGTTCTGTTTTCTTCACTGATAAAAAAAAAAAAGGTTCTGCCTTCATTGAAGTGATACGCGGTTAAGTGTGTCACGTTGACATCGGAAGCGACAATTTCCAAAGGGAAAACATAAGCTTATCATCTTGGGGCCACAGTGGCAATAATTACGTTCGCTTTTAGTGTTTATGGAAGCAAAACTGTACATCGCCATGTCCATCGTTTTAGTTCAATCCAATCTGTTGCCATTCCGCTGCAGCAAGTCTAGTGCTCCTGCTGTACATCTCGAGATTCTTGACAAAATCCAAAGAAGCGTTTATAATATAAACGATCCTGAGCAGGCATCTCGACTGCAGTCACTTTCTCACCGACATGATGTGGCTTCCCTTTGTCTTTTCTGCAAATATTTTCAGGGCAACTGATCTGATGTGCTTTATTCCCTGGTGCCCCGAATACATGCATGTAAACTTGCTACTAGATTGGCAATTAGGTCTCACCCTTTTACAATTGAAATAGCTAAATGCAAACGCCAGTTCTATTCCAACAATTTCTTTTCTCGCACTCCCCACCTGTGGAACTTGCTTCCCTGATAACAACAACCTTTAAATATTTAAATGCACCCTCAGTCACCATCGTCGATCTTCTTGAATCCAGTTCATCTTTTCTCTTTTCCTTATTTCTCCTATTCTAAGTCTTCTCTTTCACTTTCACTCTCTGTAACCTTCTACGCACGTGATATTCCCGCCTTGCTTGGATTGAAATGACTCTTAAAAAAATGTATTGCACTTTATTTTTATTGCGATATACCTGTAATTAACTTTTCAGACGTCGCAAAATTTGTTGGCACAATCAGATTTTCGGTTATTTTTCTTCAAATCTACTTATAAGAGATCCTTTGTATGCATAATAATTATCACTGATTTTACAAGTATAACAGGCAGTACAAGCGTTCTTCCTTTATAGTTAAACATGTAGCAAGGTGTCGGTAATAGGGATCTTAATATAACGGCTTTTGTACATTTATACTCTAACCGAATATTTGACGCGAGCTGGTGATCTTTATCTTAAAATTACACCGGAAAAGGGAACAGAGTTAATGCCATTTGAAATCTACGGCTGCGAAAATAGTTAAGTTGCAGTCTCTGCAGCGAACTCTGGAAATTACCGGACTTTTCCTTCAAGTGTTTTTATTCCTTAGAAATATGATATTTGCATATCAATATTTAAGATCAGTCTACGTCTAAAAATGTAAGAAATATATAGAGTCAAAAAAAATAAACAAATGCGTATATAAACTATTTCGACGTGATCCAGACAGGGTGCGCAGATTTGCTACAAATGTGATATTTTTAATACCATGTGTCTTCGGGACGTAAACGACGATAGCTCTCCACTGAGTTCTTTTCTTTATTATCAGTGAATTGCTTGACTTTTGGAGCCAAAATAGTTGACTAGTTGTTTTCTTCCCGTTATCTTCTTCACTGTTTGAATTCAATGTAGTTCTTTTCCTAGACTGGCTGCCACTCAAGGCTAGATATTCCTGATTCTAAGGACAAATAACACGGAAGGGAAATGGAAGCAAAAAGGACATTTGTACTTAGAATCAGAAAGAAACAGTTGAAATTTCTCCGGCACTTAATGAGGAAAGGGGACTTGGAGAATTTGACACTCACAGGACATGGTAAAAACAAGAGAAACCGAAAGAAACAGCGGTTAACCATATCTAACAAGCTTGTGAAATTGTACGTCAAAATAGGGTGTGGGAGGGATAATAAGCGGACAAAGATTGCTTGGAGCTTCAAAGGATAGAAAGATGTCGATGGCCGTGATCGCACATGTCTTGAAAGGACCTAACTGATAAATGAAGTCATATCTCGTATGGCAAGCGAATTTCGTAATGCCCATAAACATGCGTGTTGCTAATTTTGAACCAATACTTGAATATTAATTAATTAATTAACCGTAGTGTTTATGTCAAATGTACTTGTAAAATAATGTTAGGCAACGATGTTCGTTTTTAAAGCTTTATACTTCCGCCCACTTTATCATATGCTTCCTTTTGTCTGTATTATATGTCTCCTTTTCGACCATCAGTCACTTTGCGCTGTGTACAAATCTGTCTCTCGTCTTCTTATCCCCTAAATAGATACAAGTGATGTTAGTGGCTAAACTTTTTAGCATCCGAAAAGTAGTAACTAGAGCTAATCACCCGTTTTCTCCTCTTCCTACTTCCTTTCATTTATCTCCCCTTCCTACTTACACCTCTGTCGCTGCTTCTGAGCTCGAAGCGAGGTACAGAGAGAAAACGTGTTGATAGAGAGAGGAAATAGAAAAAGAAAAATTCCTACGAATACAGACTGTCAAAAATTGCTGGTTTTCCCCCAACCCCCAAAACTAGTAGCAGTCGTAACATTAGTAATTTTTGTTTAAGTCGTTCTTAGTAGGTTTTCTTTAAACTCTTACTTCATCTCGACAGCAAACAACTGGTTGTCTTAAAGGATATGCGTCAGTGGAATGAACCATTTTTGATATTGTCCCCGTCAAAAAGTACTTAATTTTTTATCGTTTTAATCTCCCCTTCCGACATTACTAACATTTAAAAAAAAATTGTCATTTATCTCTGTGTGTGTTTTAGCGTGTCGGAACCATACGATTTGAAGAATTTGCGTGTAAATCTTTACAAAATAAGTTAAAGTTGTGTACACATACATAGAGAAGACAAATGCACAAGCACACTAATTTTTTACTCGTCAAACGCAAAACTACGGTAATGGTACGCTCATATGTATAGTGGCATTATGTACTCTATTTGTTGGACAGTAGTGTTTTGTTTGTTCACGATGGGGATGGTGGATAGATAGATGCATGGATGGATACGTCACTTGTCGACGGAGATGTTGATAACCCTCATCACTTACAGAAAAACGGTGAGGCTTGTCTATAGCACTAATATTACGTTACCGCTTGTATCCAATGTTTAACTTCTTTTCTGGACAGAGGCGAATGTCTTGAATTCTGTCTCTGCGCCGGTCGCTTGCAGAATTACAACTCCAGGAGGAAAGTACTGAAGAACGGAGAAAATAAGGAAGAATTTTAGAAAGATATATAAAATTTTTTTATTGAATTCAAAATTAAATAAAATAACGAACTGCAATTGTGTGGTGGAAGAATAAAAAAAAAAGTCCTACTTCAGTGTGTTATCAACGATAAACAAGGTAAGAATTATTTTTGCATTTTATTTCTTTTTTTTTTTTTCTAATTAACCGGAGCGGGTTTAAAATAAATAAATTAAAAAAAAAAAAAAAGTTCGACAATTGCCTGAGAGATAGAATTCCTACTGTGTGTTTCTCATCTGGAATATCGTTTATGTCACAAATATGCGTTTTGCTCCCACACGAAGCTAAGTAAATATTCTATTTCGACTCTCTTTTTTTTTTTTTTTTTTAATTTAAAAAAGAACGTTTTCGTTTAAGTTGTAATTTTATCTGCTTTAAGTTTGATTTCTTAGTAAATATTTTCTTTGTTACCACCGTTCAAAAAAATTCTGAAAATAAGATACTGACATTTTTTTTTAGTCTCATAAAACAACAACAACAACAAAAAAAAATAACAGCTGCTTTCGTTTTGCAAAAGTTGGTTATGTCTTGAATAGCATCGTACGTAACAATCTTCTGGAGGAGATCCACACCGTAACACATGTCTATCCAAAGAGAATATTACAAACCGGTATTCAGTTAAAAGAATAAATAAAATATTTGTTATTATTTAAATTACTCTTGATATATATTTTTTTTCTTTTGGGATTTAAAAAATATAACGATGTTTCACAGATATGCGGCATATTATTCATGGGGGTTACTATTTATAAATATTTATCTTATCTGCGCTGTTTATAAATAGTTATCTTATCGAGGATAAATATTTCTAGCTAGAGACGTATGACAGCCTATAACAATAACTTCTAGACTTTCTATAAATCCTAACCCTGACCCAATCTTCAAGTGAGTGTTAATTTATCCGCCTTCAATCGCAAACATTCTGTGGATCCATCGAAAATATAGCAATTTCCAAGTGCATAAAAAATGATCCTTTTGTCTTTTTTTTTTTCTCAAGTTTCTTATAGTTTATTTTACATTTTTTACAAGACTACTTTTTTTTTCCTTTTTAGTTTTTCCCCTTACTAAAATACTTGCAAACAAATTCGAATTTTATATCGATACATTATAGAATAGGAAATTTCGAAAGTTGATCTCTGTCCACTTTCTAAGTTGCATTCTTGCAAAGTGTATGCGAAAAAGAAAACAAAACTTAGTTGTTTTTTTTTTTTTCCCCTCATTTTTGTCGTTCCCCAGAATTTTCTTTTTTACGTATTACGTACAGATTTAGCAAAAAAGTTATGTATTTTATTTAGGTTAAGATTCGGTTTACTTATAAAATAACTTATTTTGCTGGGAAATTTCATTTTTGAGCAAATGTAAGGCTTAAAATAAAAAGAAACAAAATGGCTCTAAAATTGGAAATTGATTTACAATTTTCGTATAATATGAAACTGAACCCTGACTTCATGCCTCATATAACTTTTAATGTTCAGTTTTGAATGTAAACATTCTACTAATCTGTTCCCTAACTTTGTGTTCGCTTTTATGCATACATGAGTTTTATTTCCTGATTTTTAATGAATTATCTGAATGGCTAGGAAGGAATTTCTTGAAATAGTAAAACAAAATTTGATAAACTAATATTTATTTATATAGCAATTTTTTGCCCTCCCACCCAAAATTCTTTTACTTCCCTTATCATAGATCCAATATGTTCTCTTCAACTTCTTCGATATTATCAAATTGTCCCATAAAGACGACCCCAAAACATATTTGCTTTAAATAGGAGTAGATAGGTTCGTCTATCGCCCGGTTCACACAACTCCCCGGGTTTTTTGAACAAGAGTTTAGGTTTATCCCTTGTTTATATTTGGGTTTCCGGTTTCTTCCAAAGTTTGTTTTTTTTCATTTTGTTTCACTCCCAGTCGCCCCTTGCATTTTAAGGGCTTTATCGCCTTGTGTGGTGAGAATAGATTAAAAAAGAGAAGAAAACGGCATTCAATGGCTGCTGGCATGCACTGTCATACCTGTGGAATGAATTGTAACTTTTCCACATTGACTGCTACTCTTTGTCAGCAGTCAAACACAAAGCGGGCATTGGGTAGAGTTTAACAGTACGTTTAGATTGTAAATTGAACATTCAATATCATTATCACGATTAGGATTCTGTCTGGCATTAAATATAGACTATAAATTGATCGTTTACTTTGGAGCCACTTTGTTCGTTTCCAGTTTAAAATATAAATTTTCTTATCTGCCTATATTTCTGAGATGAGGTATTATGTACACTATTTACATTATTCGGACTGTTGTCCTCATCTTTGTCGCCATATTTATTATTACAACGTTTCGGCCGTTGTACGCTCTGACCTTCTTCAGGTGGTTGGAATGTCAAACTGAACCCTTTATTTCGCTCACTGCTCTAGTTCCACGTGCCATGTTTAATGGAAGTCAGTTATCAGTTATCTTCTGTTAATTCCCCTCTGCAAATTCTCCACTGCTTTAACCAGGTATTGAATTGGGTCCTGTCACCAGATCTAACCAACGACTTTATCCACTGTGCCATGTACCTCAATAAATATGGCGACAAAGATGAGGACAATAGTTCGAATAATCTAAATAGTATAAATTTTCTTGAAAATGAAAGTTTTTTTTTTCCAAAGAAATAAAATCCATTTTCATTCAAGGCAAACTAAATCGGATAAGTATATATAAATAATACATATTTACCCGAGTCGAATGCTAACCTTCATTTTTTATATTCTGTAAGTTTTTATTTCTTGGAGCCGGATCGAAAACTTCTCTCCTTGGCATAGAGAAGGAAGAAAGTTTGAGGTGAAGACGACAATCGAATTAGGTGGATTTTCGGTCATTTTTAATATCCATTTATCTCGTAAGCACACCGTGCTCTTATTCCACTGTCGATTGCAATATTGAGAAAAAAATGTTTGATTATTATTTAGAAAGGAAATTTTTGTCGGTTAGTCTTGTCATGCATTTTCAGTGTATAAGATCAGGATCCCATATCTGTGATATTCTAGTTTTAATTCGTCTACACGATCTTTTTTTTTTTCTTTTTATAGATATGGTTTGATTTAAATGAGTTTTTCGCAATCTCGTCGCAATGAAATCAGTGCATTAAGAGAGGAAATGTTTTGGCTTACGTACCTCCATGAGATCGCTAAAAAGATGATGAAAAAGACGCCAAACTTAAATAGTTTCTGAAAGTTTCATTAACATCCGACAATTATTTTTTATTTTTGCAAGATTTTCCAAATTAATGTATGTCATGCAAAAAAAAAAAAAAAAGGGCTAAAAATTGTATGTTTTTTTTTTTTTTACTAGTTCCGGTGATACAAAGAGAAACGAGAATTTTTAAATCAAAATTCAGAATGTTCTAAAAAGAAGGAAAAATTTTAAAAAATAATTAAAATAAACTTTGATCTTTCCTCTTAAAAATAACAAATATTTAGACGATAAAATTTTGTTTTAGTCAAGTTTGGCGTCTTTTTCATCATGCTATGCTCTTTTTTTAGCGATCTCATGGAGGTACCTATTTGGCAGTATAAACAAACAACTTGAATAACAAAGAATCCTAAAGAAAAATCCTAGAAAAAATATACAAGTATATAAATGATTGGTTATAAACACGCTCTAAAGATCGTCTTTTTACCTCTCGAACGTGTCCGTGAACTTTCTTTCTCGTGTATAGTTATAATTTCATAGTTTTGTTCAGTCCTCGTGTATTCAATAATGCACAAAGAAACTCTTGACAAAATCACTTTGCATGTTCACAATCAACTCCTACAAAACCTGGCCATTTAGGTAACTCTCTGCAATCAAATCAGGTTATAATATCCCTATTGTAAAATTGGTTAATTGGGCAGCTTGTTACTACAACCATATGACCCCATCTGTTAATCATTATCACAGCTGTTTTCTTCGTTATAACAAAGTGATCTAGAAACACTTTTAGCACAATATCCATATCCTTTACAAAGATTAGCAGGGTGCTATGGGTAATTACGTCACGAATTTATATTTTAAATTTTGCGCATGCGCGTTGTTTGTTTTTGATTTTGTTGATTGCAAAGTATAATAGGGTCAGTTGGGCACCTTCCTTAAGAAAAAGCGCACCACGACGCAATTCACTGCCAGAAATTTGGAAACGGCATGCTGTACTGCTTGGCATTCGCACCGGAAGCTCTAGTACAAAAATTTCAGAGTCTGTGTCAATCTGAGGACCGTGCAGAGGGTGTTGCGTCTCCAAAAGATGTACCGAGAATGATGAAAAACAAATATCTAGTCAACATCATCGTGACTAGGTTGATCACAACCGATAGCGACGTTCCCATAAGGCCTCAGATTCATCACGAGGAGGTTGTAGTGCCTTGGATCAAGAGGGTCGCTGCTAGAAGACACTGTCTGGCAACAGGACTCTGCACCATGCCGCACAAGCAGAACCCAATCATGGCTGTCAGACAATTTCTGCGACCCTTCTATCAAGATACCTAACTCCCCAGACTGCAACCCCTGTGATTATTATGTGCAGGGGCGCAGTTGATCGAGGCACCAGCAAAATTCCTTGTAACATCAAAGAAAAACTGAAGGCAAGGATTATTACAGTATTCCCCATCTTAAACAAGGAGAACGCCCAGAAGAGTTGCAGGAGATTACGAAGGCTGGAGGCTGTGCTTGAAGCCAATGGCGATTTTATTGAATTCAAGATTTTTTGTGTAAAATGAAATGTCATCATTATTTTTCTTTTCGCATAATTTAGACGACAATTTATCCGTAGCAACCTGTATATGTACCCAGACTGTAAGTCCGCTCTCGAAATGGGGTAGTTTTAGAAAACTGAAAATACTCAAAAATTTATCGATTGCAATGAAAATGCAGCATTCTAAAATACATCTAGTGTGATGAAAATTCTGTACTATAAAATAAGTCTAGTGCAATACAAATGCCCTAAAAATGCCCCTAGTGCGATGCAAATGGTGTAATCAAAAACGCTGTAAGTCGATGATTTAAAAAAAAATAATTCTAGAGAAGAAACAAGTTAATAAATGACTCCCATCCGTGAACCATAGATGTCGTTCTATTTGTTACAGTTTAGC